AGAATCGATTAAACAGTGTGTGGAGATGGACGTTTTATGGAGTACTACTGTAAAAAGACCAGGAATAGGAAGTCATAACAGCAGATCATAAAATCATGAGGCAATAACCGAGTGCCAGGAGTGTCCATTGGAATACAGCGTAACATGTTCATCTGTTAGCTTTATGAACTATACTGCTGCTGCATGTTATTCCCTATTTAAAACTAAAGGCTGTTGGATGAAAATGTATGATGGGGATGAAAGAACAGAAAGCTTTTATTAGTTTATCCATGTCCAGAAAGTTCCTAAAGAAGCAGGCTGTTTACAGAGTGATGGGAGGTTTAGTGCTGTGATTCCCAACCGGGGGTACATGAACTTACAGTGGTCTGCAAGTACATTGCAAGGGGAACATGAAAATATTGTATTTCTTAGGCAGTAAAATAAAATAGTGCTGGGATCTGTTCTGTTTTTCAAGGACCCAATTGAAAAATAAACCAAGCTTTTATCAACCAAAAGCTAAGTTTTTCTTATATGTTTGGCACATTAAAACCAAGCAGAGGAACAGACTGGATGTAGAGAACAGCCTGGTATCAGCTGATTTTCACACTGAGCTATCAGAGCTCATCAAAGCAGCTTAATTTCAAAGTAAACCTGAAGTCTTTGCAGATTTTGCAGTCTTTAAAGATGGATTAAACCCAAGCATTATGAAGACTGTGGATGTTAAACCATATGGATTGCTGCTAAAACAACTGCTTTGTACTCATCCTCACAAGCTTCTCTTTCGGTCCTTTTTTTAACATGAGGCCTGCCCTTAAAAGAAAACCGAATACTGCAGAAAAAAATATTACAAATTGTATTTGGTGACAATGGCATAGATAACTGGTGCTTCAGCCCAAAAAAAGGACGCTCCTCCAAGTCTGCGTTTTTGGGGGGTCAGCAGTCAATTGAACAGCAGATATCAATCCAGGTGGTTAACATGAAGAAAAGCATGAATGGTGCCAGCCCATCGTCAGGGTAGTCCAGCAGGCCCACCATGAGCCTCTGGGTTCAGGGACTCTGCTGTGTAAAACTGGTTGTTCTTAATGTTTCCCAGGATCTTCTTAACTTCTGGTTGGAAAGCAGCCATGAACTGATCCACTCTTGAAGGGTTGGACTCTTCTAGCTTGGCCTTGACTGCCTTAACGTGATCCTTGATCTAAGCCATGTACCCCTTCTTGTCAAAGCTGGTCTCCTGCAGATGGAAGGAAGTAAAACTAATTTATTCTATCATTTTAGTTCTGTATTTGGCTCCCAATTCATCAAGTTTAAATGTGATGAGGGCTGCAATTATTTTGCAAATCCATGAATCTGTCGATTAATAACTGGATAGCCAAAAGTTCCTTAAAGAAGATTTTTTACAAAATTAAACCAGGTGAAACTTAACCATATCCACTTGAAGAGTTCTGGAAAGAGCATGTTGACAGATGATTAAAAAAAATTTTTTTTGTATCTTAAGTGCAAAATGCTTTCATATCTTTTTTTCCCCACAATTTTGGTGTAATTGCTGCTCAAGGCGGGTCGCTCAGCTAAAGTCATGTTTTAGAGTCTCTACACCCCAGTTAAATATTATTCATTTACTAAAATAGACTATTATTGCATTAATCGATTAATCAGGATTAATTGTTTCAGCCCTAAATGGGATTAATGGGAGTTACTCAGAGGAGCTCCAATTTTATAAATACAGGTTTATATTATGATTTTATTTTGTATTTATTTAGATTCCTTAATAAATTCCAGGCAACATATTTATGTTGCTTTTTTATTTGCAATTGAAAGCTTAAAATCCCAAAGAATTAATAATAGATTAAGAAAAAATATTTTGTTCGTTACACTTTAGGACAATCATCAATGCTTTTGACTGAGAGGGGAACTCATGGTAAGACAAAATGCCCAAAGGAGGACACAAGTCAAAAAAGGTTGGGAACCACTGGTTTAGTGGAAGGAAAAGTGTGAAAAAAAAGTGCCAATGCAATTTGGATTCCTGTAAAGCTCTGGAGAAGACTAAAGGACAGCGGAACTCCTGCACACAGAGCAGTATTACACCTTGGTTAAGATCAAGTTCAAAGAATTTCAAGGAATTTCCAGGAACCATTTCCTTAAATCCAAGGACCACATGTGACAGCATTTACACTGGAAAAAAATGGAAATCTAGATAAGGCATTTGTTCTTGGATTGAGAAGGTAAAGTAGACATTTTGCCAACGGAACACGACAATTTACATGTAAAATAAGAAAACACAGTTCCAGGGTCTTATTTGAAGTGCATTTTATCTAAATATATTACGGTATTTTAAGAGTAAAAATACTCTTTTCATTGGCAAATCATCACATTTACCTGCTCAAATTAATAGAGCAGGTAAATGCAGCACTTAATAGAAGAAATTACTTATTTTTAGGTTGTTTTTCCAGCGTACCTCCTTATACCACTGTGTCACCGTTGGCTACGATTAAATAAGACTTAGAAAATAAACAGCCGATCAAACTAAAACTATCATCTAAAGATGAAAGTTAGAATATTGCGATTAGATTTTAGCAGGATCCAAAATTATCTAAATAAGAGGTGTGATTTATGCTGGTGCTAATCCAAGCAACTTGTCAGGTTCAAGTTATTCTACATCCATGTGACACTTTTCTGTTTTGAGCAGCTGAGTGAGAAAAGTTTCTAACTGGCATCTTTATACGACACATTCTGTTCAATTGGACAATTATTCTTATTCCTAAATCTGTTAATGGCACAATCAGATTATTCATGTTTTTTGGACCAGAAATATTTTCCCATCATGAAAATTTGTGCATGTAAATAAAATAGGTAATTTTGTATAATGAAAATTCAATGACAAAAAAAAAAGCATAGAATTTGTTGGATCAGAATCAGAAACAAATTATTTGATTCTTAATAGTTTATGCATTTCCTCAAAACATTGATACCTTTAGGGATGACATGAGGCGTTTTTGTGGCCTTGAAGCTCTTCAGGAACAGTGTAGCACAACAGTGTTGTTCCTTTTTCAGAGTCTTACAGGCTTCAAAATTACTTCCATCTACTAACTCTGAATGTTTATTTTTGGGTGTCACACTTAGCAAGCCACGCATCCAAGCATGGCATCGTGGGAAAACTTGCCTGTGAGAAGATTGCAGAAATGGAAGCTGGTCTGGTTAGTCGCCCAGTAAAACATTTAAATTCTAGTGCTTAAACAGAAATTAATAGGTCACCATCTGTGTGAAATTTAAATCTAAAAAAAAAAATTAAAACAAAATTTCTGTTCATGGCCGATTTTAAAAACTTCCCAGACCGTGACTATGTTTTTTCAAATTCAAAGAATTAAAGATTTTAAGGACCGATAGAAACTCCATACAGATGTGTGGATTCCTTGTCAAGTATGCTGGTGAATCCAACTAGTAGTAATTCCTAAAAAAGTTAAAAAAAAAAAAATAATCCACTGGACTTTGTTTCCAAGTTTGAAGACATTTCGCTTCCCATCCTGGAAGCTTTTTCAATTCAAAACAGCAAACTCATTAAGGTCCCCTTGAACCACTCTTAGCTTTGCTGAAGGAGAAAAAGGCACAAGATGTTGCTCAGTTGTCAGAAGTTCTCTTNAAACTTCCCAGACCGTGACTATGTTTTTTCAAATTCAAAGAATTGAAGATTTTATGGACCGATAGAAACCCCATACAGATGTGTGGATTCCTTGTCAAGAATGCTGGTGAATCCAGCTAGTAGTAATTCCAAAAAAAAGTAAAAAAAAAAAAAAAAAAAGAATCCACTGGACTTTGTTTCCAAGTTTGAAGACATTTCGCTTCCCATCCTGGAAGCTTTTTCAATTCAAAACAGCGAACTTTGAAGACCAAAGTTTGAAACAAAGTCCAGTGGATTTTTTTTAAAACTTTCTTGGAATTCCTCATTAAGGTTCTCCTGAACCACTCTTAGCTTGGCTGAAGGAGAAAAAGGCACAAGATGTTGCTCAGTTGTCAGAAGTTCTCTTTATGGGACAAAATAAATTTTCTAATTTAATTTGGAAATTCAAAATTCTGAAGGAGTGGCGGCCCATCATCCAGGTTGTTCTAGGCTGTGTAGAAAGTTTCAACATTTAAATATTATTTGGGAAACCATGACGTGCTGCTAGGCTACTGTGTTTGATCAAACCTGCAGTCAGCGGCCCTAAATAAGAATTAACCATTATAAGCAGCACATTAAATTAAATACTGTATAATAGGCTGACATTCACAGATGAAAATCCTCATTTGGTCTCATGAACTATACTCATTCCTCGAGACACTGAACTTTGGATTTTTATTAGCTGTAAATCAAAATCAATAAAAATTAAGCAGAAAATAAAATATTTTGGGGAAAGTTCAGGATTATAAACACATATGAATGCAGAAAATTATGAATATTTATGATCAAAACCAATTCCAGAGCTTTAAAGACTCTAAGTGCTTAACACCAACAACTCACTTCGAAAAAAGCTCTGCAACCGTAGAGATGCCTTTTACACTAAACAGTACTTCATACTTAAGCACATTTGATAGTTTTCTTTTATTTAGACAACCCAAATAAAAGGCACATAACATTGCGCATGTTTAAGTAATAATTTGACAAACGTACATTTAAAAAAATGTAGGAATGTTTGATCTTTCTGCTAATCAGAAAGCCTAACCTCTCATATATACAAAATTATCAATGTTAATGTTCTAATACAAAAGATTTATAAAAAAGGTTCTTATCTTTCACATCTATTGTAACTACCATATCCTTGGAACTAAAAGTTTTGTACAAAGATATACATTCAACTGCTTTTTCACAAGGTTCCTGGTGTTTCCAATTTACTGTTTTTTTTCCTCTTTAAAATAAATGAGATGTTCAATTTCACAAGAAAAATTCAGATCACATATTTTTTTTAAATTTGGCAAACAGGCTATTATAGTGTATCTACGTAAATGCATAAGAATAAAAATAACTACACTAATATTTTGTAAAAAAAAAAAAAAAAAAAAAAAAAACTGGGAAAAAAAAAAGACATACATGCATATTGCATTTCTCTGTATAAACTGAATCAACTCAAAGAGCTGCAACACTGCTGAGACAACATGGCATTCGTTAAAAAAATAGTTCATGTTCAACAGCTACAGTGTTTCAGGGGTCATGCAACATCAACCTCGTCCCATTTTCTTTTAAATGGACACAAAAAAAAAATCATGTTCTGTATCAAACTCACACAGTTCTCAGCCACATACCTGTGCAAACTGAGACTTGCCCGAGTACGTCAAAGATGTACAGCATTCATGTCATTTTACAGTAAATAATCGATTCAAATGGACGGCTGTTTAAAAATCAGGAACCTCTGGACTTTACTGGTTAGTGTAATTTAGTGAAGCAATAGTAAATGTTTTCAGGAGCTTGGAAAACTCCAGAAATCCAAAGTAGTTCATGATTTGTTTTTTTCCTGTTTCCTGAGTGATGGTTCAATAGTTTATTTAACCTTGGGGCTGTAACAGAGCAACGATAAACAATTGGAAGAATAAAACAGTGTAACAAGGTGTCTACTAAAACTATTTCAGCCACCTTTAAGATGCCGATTGCAAGCTGAGAAGCTTCACTACAAGTCCAGGATTTACATACTCTGCCACTAGAGGGCACTCAAGTGTAGGCTGGCTAACCAAAACACTTAAGACTCTGATCTTTGATAATACTGCTGTTCACCTGCATGTAGGATATGCCTTCAGTGCAAGACTCATTTCATTCTGACTTCATGGAAAAAATTATCACAAAAAAGTAAAAAAAAATAAAAAAATAAAACAAAAAAATGAAAATAAAATCCTTTGTTTCCATATAAATAGAAAAACAAAGTAAAAATATCTCAGTCACGTGAACAGTGTCCATATGTCCACCTGATTGACAAAAACAAAAAGCAGTCATGAAAAATACATTACTATGTCAACTGTACAAGTTAGTCACTGTACCTCAAGAGCATACCTACTATTTCAGAGAGAAAGAAACGCTATATGTGAAAAAATAGTCTTCCATGCAAGTGGAAGCAGCTGTCCCTTTTACTAGACTCATTTCCTATAACATTAAATAGTGATTAGCAGGCTATAGTTATAAAAAACAAAACAAAAGAAAAAAACTACATACAAAGTAACGCCCAGAGGCTTAGGGAGAGAGAGAGAGCGCTTGTAAAACATCAGAAACAGCAATTCATAGTTATTGCTTCAGTCCAATTCACATCTCCCCTACAAAAGCACATGTATTTTTCGTCCTCTTGATACGAATCACAGTTTCTTCTTTCTAACTGCCTACGCTAAGTCTTACGGCTGTCTTGATTTCAAGATTAAATCCTACTCGAAGTTCTACTAAACTGCTCTGCATCACGACCCGGTCGCTAAACGTCAGATGGGACACAGGACTTGGGGGAGCTCCTACTGGCCTCGCAGCTCGGGGGGGGAACGGCTTCACTTCAAAGCTCCAGGAAGCGGACGCACGAGGGGTGAGGTGGTGGTGAGGGGGGAGCTGTTAAAGTGAGGACAGGAGTCTCTTTTCACTTCATTTTCCCTTTCTTTCTGGCCAGTTAGATGGTGACGTCTATCTTTTTCTTTGTTTTTCTTCTTTTCTTTTTCTTTACCAAGGTGGGGAAGAAGGCAAGACTTGGGACAGGAAAGGCATGCTATCGACTGGCCTCATGGCGATGTTTAGTGGGCCGGCTATATTCATGGGCATGGGGGTGGTTATTGCGACCGGGTGGGCGATATTCATGGGTGCCGTGGCGGGGATGTTCACAGAGGCGATGTTGACGGGTCCGGTGATGGTGACCGGGTGCTGGAGGCTGACAGGAGACGTGATGTTGACCGTGTTGGTGCTAATGTTCATTTGTGCTGCTATGGTGACAGGGTTGTTGTTGACGTTGCCCCGATTCATTGCTGAGGTGATGGGGGCAGAGACGGACACGGGGGTCGCTGAGGCAGAGTTGCAGACTTCATTACCTTCTGGAAGAAGAAACAGTTAATTTTGTGTCCGGCATTAAACAAAAAAAACTATTTCTTAAAATATTTATAAAGCTGGAACTTTCTTTTTTTAACTGCATAACCTTTAAGGTGGATTATTGGGATTCCATGTGATAGACTAACAAAAAAAACAAAAACAAAAACAAAAAAACCCCCAGTATATTACTGAGAAGTAGAAGGAAAATAATACATGAAGGAATTCGCAAAATATTAAATCTAAAAGGTGTTGCAGTGCAGTGTCTCACTGAGACCTGTTCTATCCATCATCTCCATTTAGAAAACATACAGCATCATCCCTCGCACGACCCAGGAAGGACAAGCAGGTATAAACACTGGATTGATGGCGCCTCTGTAAACCTACCTACCAATACGTACCCATCCGTCTTAACTCAAAGGCCCAATAAATCAGAGGAGCCAAGAGGCCTGTGGTTACACCACAAATTCAGTCTTTAAAGAAAGATTCCAGTTAGTTTAGGTGAAAAGAGACATTTGTGTGGTTCAAAGGCAAGCATATTCATGGGTAGAACGGCCCAATCAAAGTCCAGGGTAAATCCAGGTACTATGCTGTGGTAAAACAAGACAAATAGCAGACTGCCTCCATTAAATATTATAGAAAATGTTTGCAAAAAAATAACAGAAAAATGTCAGTTTCTAGGAATGCATAGGGGGCGATGTATCCAAAAATACGAGCAGCTGTAGTTACCTAAAGGTAGCTGTAGTATGCTGGTACATATACCAACAAAACATGCATCATTTTCCTTCAACTGCATAATTATGTTAAAGTCAGTGTTTGTATATCACCACAAAATCTCAATAAAACAGGTTTAGGTTTCAATCTTTTTAAAAACAAGCTAACATAAAAATGTAACTTGAAATCCCTTAATACATCTTTGATGTACTCTAGAGCAGAAATAAAGTTGTTCTTTCAGCATCAACTATCTATGGATATTCTTTTAAGCCCAAAAAAATACAAAAACATAGTAATATTTGCATAATTTGGATACAGTAAAATCTACAGGAGTAGATTTTAAAATCTGGAGTAAAATCTACAGTAATACGCTATAAAGAAGATTGTTCACACTAAAATTGAGGATTACAAACCTATAAGAATTGCAAAATCAGAGTTTTCATGTTGGATAAACACACAGAACAGTTTCTGATCAGATCGACAGACCTTTGTTACAGGAGTTAAAGTTGGTCTGTCCGTGAGTCTTCAAATGACTGGTGATGTAGGCTGCACTGAGCATCTTCCCACAGATGCTACAGGTGACCTTGCCTTCATGTCGGATCATGTGGGAGCGGAGTCTGTCTTTGGTGGCGAAAGCAGAGGTACAGGCCTGCAGAGGTGAAGCAATCACAGGGTGAGTTACACATCATGATCCAAGAGGTGATATGGAAAAATGTGGACGCCGATAGCGAGGGCCCTTACCGTTACTTGACATTTAAATGGTCTTTCTGAAGAGTGCACATGCTTCACGTGGCAGCTCAAGTGGTCTGGCCTAAAACAGATAATAAAAACAAAAAACAAACATTAAAATTTAATTTGTGAATGGAAAGGCAGGGAGCATCACCTCCTACTGATGAGTCACTCACAGCGGGTTGTTTTTAGCTTCCCGCTTTAGCCCAGTGTTTTTTATTTTTCCCCCCTTCCTAAAACTTGTAAACAAAAAGTGGATCTACATTTGTTCAATCATCATCATTGCTTTACTGACAGTGATACTAGAGAAATACAAACTTAAAATCTGGGGCCATGAAATCCTCAAATTCAGGGCTGATATATCCACAAAAAAAACAAGAGCAACCAATACCCTCAAAATTCAAAAACATGTCTCGATCCTAATTAAATCCACCAATCAGCCGAGCAGAAACATAAATAATTGATTACACTTCCTGTAGAGCGCGTATATTTCTGACTAGAATTGCCACGTCAGATAAACAAGAAGATAAAAAAAGCTTCAGGTCCAACCCTGATATGAGCAGAAGTGGACGGATGTGCTCTGTTTGCTTGGATAATGAGGAGATGGGCACAAAATCCCCCAAATTTCAGTCAGTGGCAGTTAATTCTCTGCGATCAATGGTGCGTGAATCAGTTTGACCTACTTTTGAACATGCACCACAATGCGATGGCCGTCTCCTTTTCTTCCCCCGATTTCCTCTCAACTATTTAATTAAGCTGAAATTTGGTTAATATTGCCATTTATTTCCCCTGATAGGTGCCAATGTACTAAATTGTGACAATATGAGTTTGCAGAAAACTCATTAGTTCTTATTTCCACTGGGAGTTATTCTCCATTGTTTGCTTGTAAAAAAATGAATGTCAGAATTTATTTCACAAATACTTAACACATACTTAGAACTGGGTGTACCATTTGTATTTTAGAGGATCAAATGCATCTTAATGATAAAACTAACATGAACATTCTATAGGTTATCTACCTTTAGCATACAAAGGTCACCATTTGCTGCCTTTATAAGTTCAAGCACTCACATTTGATGCTCCGTGTGGATGTTTAGTCTGTTTTTGAGCTGAATCCTGTACAGCAGAACCTTTATGGACCAAGAAAGGGCCGCAGCTTTTGCAGCTGGTGCCAAACCGGAAAGCTTCACGCTGCTGGAATGTTTAATACAAATTAAGAGTCAAGTAGAAACTTCTCTGTAGTGCCAGAAACCGGATTCAAGCTTTTTTTTTTTTTTCCCTCCCCCGCTCTCTATTTAGCTGCCGTCCCATTGACAAGGAGAATCCAGACACTGTAAGCCTACATCTCAGGCTGAGTGGCAGTGACTCAGTGGCCTGCTATTCAGAATCCATTCTCACTTTCCAGTATGCCGATGAGTCCCTGGCCCACGTCACAGTGTTGGAGTTTTGCCTGAACGCTGCCGTATAAAGCTCAGAGATAATGTTAACAACTTGGCAGAGGTGCACTGCTGATGTTTTCGTTCGAGTCATGCTGCAAGCTTGAGTTTACCAATACTCCCTGCTCCAAATCAATACTGAATTATAAAACATGACAAGTTCAAAAATCCTGAGCTAAATGTTTATTTACTCCATATTAAAAGTGTTGACCTTAACGTTACACATGGTTCAGTGAATTCCCAGGGGAAAGAGGCTGTGACAAGCTGGCGGGAACTGCAAAGTGACAAGTGACGCCTCCCCCTCTCCTCATTCTCCACTAGTGCTCTCCCTACTGCGTCTGTTTTAACATGTGGTTGAAACAGCGTGGCAGGCATTAGAGGTACTCAACTGATCTTCTTATCGCGGTAAGCAGAATTAAAAAACAAATTAGTATAAACCTCTATCAAAAAGCCACATAATCATTTGAGTTTTATAATATACAGAGACATGAGAGCTCCTTCTTAACCTTAAAAAACAGATTAAGCTCAGGGATTGGGATTCATCCCTTTGCTAAAGAACATTACATATTTACCAACTGTGAAAAAAAGAACCGATATTACATAATTATTATTTTATTATCTATCAATAACTTGGAATAAAAAAACTAAAGCAAAGCTTAAAGGTCTAAACTAAATCAAATAATCATCTACGATGTCTTTGTTTGCATATAATAGATTAACAGTCTTTTTTCCCCCTAAGGACTAGGAATGCAACCACCAGAGGGGGATTACTTCAGTCTTCCCTTCCATAACAAGCTAGATTTCAGACTTCCTCCCTTTAGCCTTGTTATTTGTTGCTGATCAAAAGCATATGAGTAAACTTAATTAGTTGCAACATTTTTTCCTTTGCTAGTTCAATTTTACTGTGTAAGAAAACAGTTTCCTGACTGAATGAACAATCCTGATCCAGATTGACACAATCAAAAGCCATCTAACATATGAGAGCAGCCCTAATGTAAGAAACACAGAAGAAAAATCATTAAAGACATTCAAGACACACATGGGTGCTGCAGTAGGTAGCCAACATCTGCTAAAATAATATAAAGTAGTTTAAAGCATCAAGTTTCTATAAGTGATGTTAAAACATTGACAGGTTGTCAGGATTTACTGGAAATGTAACCACCAGCCTTGACAGAGTCACAGAAAACCAGTGGCTTACATAAATGAGAACAGGACATCCAGCTGGCTGACCATGGAGCAGACATGCATGATCCATAGGATCAGACTGCAATAGTACAAAGAGCTACACTTACATCGGGTTAATATTTACAAACTGGCTATTATATCACTAATTAAACCATCTCTAGAGGAACTATTCTTTATTTGCTGCCATCTTATTTAATGATGTTTCAGTCTGTTTTCATGCTGACTCGATGGAAGCCATGTTAGAGAGAATCAATACACTTTTTTTGGACAGATGAGATGTGTACACATCCTATCCTAAAATGAATCAGCGAATTTATGATGACCGAGCTTAACAGAGTGCAATGACATCTTGTGTGGCTATTAATCGTTATCATGAACAGTTTCTTATTACAGGTGGGTGATGTGGACTTGAGATTTTATCATGATATTTTGGAGAACTATTGTTATATTAAAAGTGATGGTTTAAAAAAAAAAGAAAAAATAAGAAAGGCTTATTTAAAAACAAGCTGCTTTGGTACCCATGGTACATCAAATTTGAATAATTTAACTGCAAACGGTAACAGCATCGATCACTGCCCTATTGCTCTATTGGAATAATATAGTTAAAGAAAAATTATTCAACAATAAATAAATTTTTAGGGAGTTTCAATGAACTGATGATAATGACTAGGGATGCCCTAATTTGATTTTAATATCTGATGACAGTTTGATATTAGCCAAAAAAGCCCCAAAAAACTCATATCTAATTTCATCGTCCAACATCTAACTTAATGGTTAATTTTACACTGGTCAGTTGTTTTCACAACTTTTATTCCCTGCTTTACTAATATTAATTTATTGAGCCTTTATTTAACATTCTACAGTATAAAGTAAGTAATGAAAGCTGGTATGATTTGTGCCAATATATCGGCTCAATCTCGGTTCGGGAAATTCTCGAAGCTGCAATCTTGGAATCGAATCGGGAATGAAAAAGTTGTATCGGGACGCCCCAATTATGATCATAAATCCAACCTTTTAGACAGAAATCACTATAAATGGTAGGATATCTTTTAAGATGATAAATTTATGAAAACTACACACCAATAAATTAACAAACCCCAAAAACTGGAAAGATTAGTTTTACTGTTTCTACCAATATTGGTCCTATTACGAGCATAAATTCATCTCAATGTATTTAAACGACAATGAGTTGGTTCAGTTAAACAGAAGCATCACACTTCTTTATGTTAGAGGTGTACTGGGGAAGCCTATTTTAAACCTTTCTCTCAACAGCATTAATATTTATGGAGTTATAATTACTGGGACATTCAGTAGCCCAAAAAGACAGTATAGGATCCATAAATACCTCTTTGTCACCTTTGTTTTCACAATAAATATTGTAACAAACCTCAGGTCTTTAATCAGCCAACACATTTGAAAGTAACACTCTTCAGTGAGGAAACCATCACCAAGAGAAGATGGCTCTGCTTTTTCCAAATTCATAAACATGTTGGAACTCCCAACTGGAAACTCCACTTCCATAAAAATAACCCTGTCCACTCACAGAGCTGAGTAACACCACCTGCTATCCCTCCCTATGGTCTGAATGAAAAAAATTAAATAAAAAAGGTCTTATCATAGAAAGGTATTATATGAATAGTTCAAATGGCTGGTAATTTAAAGAGTCTCTACTAGAGAGTAAGGTTAAATAAATGATAAACTGAGGTGTGTCTTATGAAAGAAAAAATAGAGAAAAAGGTAAGAAATCTACAATTGGGCTTAAAATTACCATTTTCTAAACCATTATTATACTTTAAAAAACTAAAATAGTGCAATAAAAAGTATGATTTCATAAAGATGAGATATTTAAATAAAATTAAACCTAAAATAATATTTTACATCCTCAATAATCAATGGGGAAATCTTTATAAGCATAACAGCTTTTTAAATATTTTCACAGATCAATTCTTTTTACGATTTTTCTTAGGCGATGAGTTCAAAACTTTTTGAAATTTAAAAGGTCTCCTTCCCATCACACTAATCTCAAAGTAAAACAGAAAATCAGTTATAAAACATCCTGTGGTTGCATCTCTAATGCTTTTATGACTTTATAGTTTGCATTAGAATATTATTTAGGAATCAGTTGTTAACAGCAAGGCAAATGTCCCATTCCTCTAATGCTAGCATTGGGCTGATCTCATCATAGCTAAGGGTTAAAAGGCAAGTGACTCTTACCTGGAAAAGCCTTTTCCACAAACGGAGCACACATAAGGCTTGTGGACGCCTCCATCATGGGAACGAACATGGTAAGTCATCCGATCCTTCCTTTTAAAGCGTTGGTGGCAGATGGGACACTCGAACGGCTTCTCGTCTGAATGGGACAGCTTGTGGCGATTCAGGTGGTAGACATCACGGAAGGCCTTGCCGCACATCTCGCAGCCGTGGTTTTTCTTGACGGGCTTGGGAGGTTTCTTGGGGACGTTTTGCTGCTGGACGTTGCCCATTGGGGACGACGTCATGATGCTGGTGCCCGAAGACACCGAGGTGGTCGCCGTGGACAGGATGCCTGCTACCGTAGAAATGTAGGAGGCGTTACCGTTGTTCTCTCGCGGCATTGAGGCGATCATGGGTACCATGGTAGGAGCCGTTTGGGCCGTCTTCTTCGGACGCGAGACCATCTTGATGCCGGTGTGGCTGGACTCATGGCGTCTCAGGTGGTAGCTGTCTCGAAAGGCCTTGTTACAGTAACCGCAGACGAAAGGCGTTTTGCCTTTGTGTTCCTTCTTTATCACAGGCACCGGAGGTCTCTGACCTCCTCCGCTGGCCACATTGTCTTTCAGGAGTTCAGCAGCACTGACAGGTGGTTTCTGGTCTATTTGGATAGGCAGGACAGGTTTCTGGTCCACTTGCTCTGCTCCAGCATTAAGAAGTGGCAGCAGGCTATTCTGGGCCACCTGGTGCTGGTGGTGGAGGGCTTCATTTGCCTGCTAAACAAACAAACAAAAAGATTTTGCTGATGAAATTTCAGACATTCAGAAAGAAAATTACTCCAGAGATGTATTTTTTTTTTTGTGTTGCTTGACACACAATATCAGCAGCAGGGTGTACTGCCATTACGGAACATCTAGCACAGTACGTGGAGAGAAAAAAAAAACAAGTTGTTGCTGACAGCTGTTACACCACTGCAAGCTGCCACTGAGAAACCATGAATCAAACTTTACAACCAAATAAAAAAAACATTAGAAAGATTTAACGGAAGACAAGGTGGGTACTGGGTCTGTCGTTAACGAGGCTGATGCAGCACGTCGCTGATGCAAAAACAATCCAAATATACTGGATGAAAAATGATCCCATCACGACGGTGCTGATTCATCATGTGACTGCAAAGCAAGCATACCAAATTAGAGGCATTGCAGAGTCCAGCTTAGCTGCCAAGAAGGCTCATGAAGAGCAGGACATTCACTCCACTGCAGAGCTTAGTTAAGAGAAAAACAGAGGCAAACCCCCCGCCAAAGAAAAAAACAACAGATTCGATAAAGCATAAAAGAGCTCAAAGACACTCAAATATAGGTCACCAAACTTAATAGAATGATAAAATTGTTTGAGCTGCTTGTGGTTTAGTGCAACATATTTTCTGGGGTTTTGCAGGTGCAAGTCGGTATGGATGACTGCCACAAGAGATGAAAAACAATAGCTGAGAACAATTAGCAGTCGCTAACATGTTGTGGTGCTGTGAATATTTCATTGCGGTCATTAGAACTCCTGATTCAGTAATAAAAGAATTTATATTTCTTGCCAAAGCTGAGGCTAAAAATATTTTTATGAGAGGCTTTGACTGAAAAACAGTTAATGCATTTTGTTTGGCCTTGTTTAAAACTGAAGGTAGTTTAGCCATGACTAAACAGTTGTGCAAGCTGGGGTTATAAAACTAAACATACCTGCCTCATATCATGTTTTAAAGATGGAATGTGGAAAATGAAAAAAACAAAACAACCTTTATAGCCTGAAATTATACAGGAAATCATACTCAAGGATTGGGTCAAAGTGTTAGATGGAATATTCATTAAATTATTAAAACAGGGAGTTGGGTGCAGTCTGGGATTTAGGTATAAATATGTATATATAAAGGTGCTGGTAATAAACCAAAAAAAAAAAAAATGAAACAAAAACCAAAGCCTCCCAAAACATCGACAATAGGCACCATCTAAAACCTTTTCCTCAAAAGAACTATTATGATTAGCAAACAATGTTTGAATTGCAATAAATCAGAAGATAAGTTTGAGTGAAAGGGACTTTAATTTAGGGCTGAAAAAATGTATTGAATTCAACGATCATTGAAATAATTGTTTACTAATTTAGTAATCAATTAATCATTAACATTTTGCATTTCAGATAAAAAAAAAAAAAAACTTGTTTGTCTAGCAATATGTTCTATCCAAAACTCTTCAAGTGGAAAAGTTTTAGTTTCACCTGGATTAACTTAGCAAAAGTTCTTCTTTAAGAAACCTTTTGCTATATGATTATTAATGGATTCATCAAAAAAATAAATAAATAAATAATTATGGGCAGATCAATCAATTTGCAAAATAATTGTTAGTTGCAGGCCTACTTTAATTTTGATAAATGTGTTTTCAAACCTTAGTGACAACCTATTCAGAAGCAAAGACAAGAGTTCTTAAGGCACATGCTCAGAAAAAGCAGAGGGATGAAACTTGCTTTTAAGGAAAAACAACGAAAACAAAAACAACTTAATCGGCGTAAACAGGTACCTTCATTAAATAACCGATTTGTTTATATAAGATAAATTGTGTTTTCTTCAAGTATAATGTTTAAAACACCAAATATGTTTTTTTATGAAGTGCTGGAGTGACCACTATTCTCCTACAGGAGAATATGGTGACCCTCCCCACTTGTTGCTATTAACTGACAGTTAGCTGGCTCGGAGAAAGCGGCTGCACTTATTCTCCACTTACAGCAGTCAGTTTGGAAATATTCCAGCAGAGAAAAGCACAGACAGTCAGGGTGTGGAAACTAATGAACTGCCACTCATCACTGTTTATAAAGCAAGGGTATCTTGAAACCACAGTCTGCAAGCTCAATGCATTTTAGTGAAAGCTGCAGACTGGTCTACAGAGCAGGGAGCACAACTAACTTTTTCTACAATTGAAACTCTATGAAGAGAAAATTAAACACTCGGTACCACTATCACTATAAAAAGAAAATCCTGCTACAACTTCAATAAATGCCTTCAATTGGTTACAAGTAATTTAATTACGTTTGTCCAACTTAATTTTGTTAAGATTTAAACTTCAAGAACACTTTGGATCTAGTTGATTGAATTATTTTTCACCAAGTGAAGCATTCATTTAAGTTGGAGCTGCATTTTCTTTTTAGAGTGTATTAAGCAGGCGTTTATTTTACATTTAGTTTAAGTCTATGTGTTGAAATCAAAATAACGAAATCAAAACATTTGCTTAGGTTTCATATTAGCCCAAAATAATCAAAGAACATAAAAATAGTAAAATGTTGTGATTTTTTCATAGTTTATAAACTATTAATTATACTTACAGATTGGATGCATCTAAATACAAGTATATTTATTACAGAAGTTCAAGGAACTGTGAAAAGTAGAAAAATAAAGCCCATGAGCTTTTGAAACGTGCGCTAGTTGTTGCTCAAACTGAGAGATTTGAAACCAAAAAACAAAACTTTAAAACCAAAAAAAGCTAACAAAAACGCAAAAAGAACCACCTCATCACCAACCAGAAAGAGATGGCAAGTTAAATAATTGCCCTTTCCCTTTAAAGTTCAATCATCCATCCAAGAAGGCCAGCTAAGACAGGAGTAGCAAAAGAGGAGACAGGAGTGAAAAAAGAAAAATGAACCACACAATGTCCTCCTTATGTCATCTAGCCTATTGTGATAGACACAAATCTGAGCGGTGATGCACTCGGCCTCAGCGGGGGATCTTTGTATGCTCATCTTCATTGATTTGGCTCATCTATTCATGAGACAGAGACATTGTTTATCCACACACCACTCCGTTGAACTAGCCGTCATTCCCTCATACGCACTGGGACCTGGGAACTCGTAGAGCATGCCACCACCCATTTGTCTGAGCACCTGCTTACACTTGCCACCTTCCAGGATTAGTCATCATCATCATGCCAATGCAACCCTGTCGGCTGGCACACCAGGGGTTGGGTTTGTTGGGATACCAGCCGGGAAACCTCTTTGTGAAGCTTGCGCACAGCAGACGTAGCCACTGCAAACAGCCTGGCTTGTACACAGAGGTGCAGGGCCTGTAAGCTGCTGTGCCTTCATGCAGCTCTGACCATTTTGACACAAATGTGCTCTGACAACTGGGGCTGCTCCCTCATAAATAACATCAAAATGGAGGGAGTGTCCTGATGGCTCCGTGGGCCACTGTAGACTTGAATTGAGCTCATGGTCTGATTATGCACCGCCTTTCCTCAATCTTTTGTGCCACACTCTACAGCTGCTTGGCCAATTGTTAAAATTAAACAAACACAACCAATAAGTTTTGAAGGCAAAAAAGAAATTGAGAAGAATAGGGAAAATGACATCACTTGACTGTCCTTTAAAGTTTTTTTAGGGCTACAGTGTGAATGTAGTTTGCTACATTATAAGAGAGTTGTCTTAGATAGTTTCTATTCAAATCAGAGCCCTTAATGTAGAACTATTGTTCTGCTGTCTGGGCCTGGACAGCCTTGCAGAAATGATCCTGAACCTAATTTAGATTAACCCTGGGAAACATTTTAATAAATAAAATAGATATAAAAAAATATTTCATCATATATTTGGTTAAGTCAACAGAAGTTCCTGAAAACAGCACTTTTAGAGTTGCTGATCCTCGGTTAATATGCAAAGCTAAATAAACTTAGGAGGCGGTTGGGGCTCTGTTTGACAATGATGTAACTTGCAGCATGTGCTAAAAGCAAGGAGGTATTTTTAGGGGATACTTGATATATGCAGTTAGGGTCTGCACTGTAACACAGCATAGCAATGCGTTTTTAGCGATTCTTTGTTACTGTTTTATTTATCTTGTGTATAGTAGAAGCTTTGATGAGGCTGAAACTACCAAAATCAAACAAAAGTTTAACACATTAAAACCATAAGGCACAAAAAGATTCAAATTTTTAATATATCTTTAGATGTAATCAAAAAAGTCCGGTGAGAAAACGTTTAGAGACATAAAATCCTATTCATTTATGGCATAAATGCGATAAAAATCCCATGTGCTTGAGATGAACATGTCTTGCTTTGATGTTAATCAAGAGAAAAATAAATATAAACTAGAAAAAAAAAATTTTTTTTCCTTTTAAACCTTGGAACCATTTCCAGCTGGTCAAGTATCCAATAAGCAGCTGTAATCATTGATATTTTTGAAGCATAGCCAATGAAATTAAAACGGATGATAACGGCAATCAAATGGACTTTGTAATGGTGACGTTAAGCACGGCTGGACATGATCTTTCTTCATTATTTACAGGTGTGTAACAGTAAAATCCACTGACATCATTAATTCTCCTATGTTAGGTCATTTATGTTCTGAGAAATCACTTTGACAGCTGAGATTTTCACAGTTCCCGACTTACTGGAACAGTTTAGCAGACTCTATATAAAGTTAATAAAAATACTCAGTCTTTTTTCCATACAAATAGATAGTTTAAAAACATTCCACAGTGTATAGAAATACTGTCACAGCCTTAATTTTTCCCCTAAATTTGAATTATTGTAGCTGTTGGAAATTAAGTTTTTTCTTTTTTTTTTAATGAAACATTGGGGGCAATTTATGCTGCTTTTTTCTAAATGATTGAAGGAGAAAAAAAGGCATTGTAAAGCTCAAAAGCACCATCATACATTCAGCCAAACTACAATCAGAACAAAAAAGCAACCCAATTGAACCTTTTTTTTTTTGCCAATGTGCATCAACAGACATTTAAGCCCCGCCTGTAGGTCACACACTCATCTTTTAAGGTCTTTGCATAAACTATTTAATTAACAGATATTCTTTCCAAAACAGACACTAAGAAACCTGCTCCTGCTAAAAAGTGTAGTTTTCACATGAGCAGGTACTGTCCACCACTCCACATTAAATCTGCTTCTGTTTAGTGTTGCACAGGGGGTGGGGGGGGGGGGCTGGGCCTAAGATTTGAGGAGAGATTTCATTGGCTGCAGCCCCTGAGTGCAGGGGGAGCCACTAAAGCATGTTTTCAAGGGTTTTTCCAAATCTGCAGTTGCAAGCTAGCACCCAAATTAGCATTTCAGTGAAAAACAATGTCCATTTCTTTCCCCTCAATCTCTTTAAGTTAATAGTTGTATACAATGTAGGCTACATGGCTGATGCTGCAGTCTTTGACTTACATGGATCTAATTACATATTCATAAACAGGTAGACATATGGTTACTAACAATTGCAAGAAGTTGCCACCACTAACAACAAAGTGCTTTAAATTAATGGTCTAATCAAGTTAAAAAAAACAAAACTAGCATTTCTACTAATTTTAGCCAAGGAAAGTTAAAACCTGTATTAAGTCCAATATATTTGAAATTCAAGAGACGCATAATAACATTTAATACTCGTTTACATTATGCTTATTTTCCCAAGTAAAGCCCTTAAAGTATGACAGGAAGTTTTTTAGGTGACTTAACTATAGCCCCTTGGTACAGTATAAAAACAAAGATTCATTAAGAGCTACAAGTTTTTTTCAGACAACTATTGAAATCCTTTAAGACTTTAAGCTAACTTGATGAAATAAACACTTGACAGTGCAAGTGAGTATTAGGGCTCGTATAATGCAACAATAAAGACAAAAGGAAATCTTTCATAGTGATAGATACAGTTAAGACTATTGACAAAAAAGGCGTTTAACACATTTTATTGGCTAAAAGTAAGATAATTTAAAACTAGAACCCAAAGCCCTACATATCAGAAAAACAATATGAATTCATTCCAAAAAAAAATGTTTCCTATGTTATTAAACTGCAGGAAAATATAGATTTTAAACCTAGATTCTGCATAACTTAAAAAAAAATTCAAGCTATTTCAAAAGGATATCTGTTTAGGAAAAGAAAATAATCTACTATGCCACATTAGTCTATATTAAACAGGTTAAATATAGATTTAAAAAAAAAATCTAGATTTCTTTGAAGAGTCTGTCTTTACAAAGTTGTTTTAAGTAAGGAAGATGACAAACTATAACCCACAATAAGGGTCTCTTTTTGCTACTGTCAATTTAATCTGACAATTTTAAACTGGCAATATGTAGAAATACCAATGGCAAAAGGGCCCTTTAATCAGTAATACTCTTTTTTTTTTAGATGTGGCATATATATATATATATATATATATATATATATATATATATATATATAAAACAACTTTGAAAATCAGTTTTGTTAAAAAATACACAAGCAGCTACACATAGACCTTTCATAAATGAATTATCAATATATAAAAGGTATCGTGTTTTAATCAAAGATAACATTCAATACCAAAAAAAGTAAAAATTCACATAAAATTAATAAAACTTTGTCAATTTAAGAATCCAGTTTCCATACAATTAAATCGGGACACATTAGTCGCACAGTTCATTTTATTCAAATCTCTGAAAGAAATGTAAATCCTAAACTACGATGGTCCTTGCTAATTTCCAGCCTGCTCCTTCGTTTCTGCTGTTAGCTAGTGCCGTGTGCATAGTTTGAATTCCATTCTACAAAGCTCATCAGAATAAATAGCTAATTAACGTGCAGAAAAATAGCCAGCGCCGCTTATCAAATCATATACCGTCCGTTTTTCTCCGCTCATTACTTTAGCCTCGCCCAGATTTGGCTAAATTAGCTTGCGAGTGGAACGAAGGCAGCCTAAACATCGTTAGCCTCTCGGCTAGTAACTGCAAACCGGCTAAAGCAAGCGGAAAGTTGACCGCGGACTTGGGAATCGCCGTTAGTAAATCTCAGTAGCGGCTAACCTCAACCTGCTAACCCCACTCGCTTCAAAAACCACCAGACATACAGTTTACTACACATGATGCTAACTCTTCATCTCGTTATCCTACGGCGTCCGATCAAAGCCTTCAGTCAAAGGGGAGGAAAAAAAAGCAGGTCTGTCTCGATTGTAACGGTGCACTGGCGTCTCCAGCTTTACTTCAAGTGATACCGCATGTTTTGCTGGCTTCGACCAGCCTCACAAACTTACTAAAAATCCACTTTCCCTCTCTAAGTATTTCGCATCCGTAATCTTAAATTACACATCGGCCGATTTTTAAACGATTGAACTGGACATATTTGATTTTTTTTTTTGTTCTAGCGTCATTCCCAAGCTTCACAGCTGGAAGCCTGGATTCATAAACCATTGTTTTGCTTCGTTACTTGTTCTTCGTGCTATTCGTTCAAATATATCAAACTAACTTGCTATGGAGCAAACGGCTGCGTAAAATGTTGACGGTGGATTCGCGAACTCTCCCGGTTTCCCCTCCCAAAAGAGAAAGCCAACTTACTTGGAAGAGAAACGTACTCCAGCTCGCCTCCATTTCCACACTTAGTGATTCTGTAGGAAAGCTAGTGGAAGCCTACAACAAAGCAAGCAAACATGGCAGCTGAAACAACTTCCGCTAACCTCCAGGACTGAACCATTTTTCGGACTATTTGGCGGGGAGCGTAAAATGAGCAATTTCAAACATATTTCTTATCGATGCCTGTGTAACCGAGACTTTATATGCAATTAAACAAATATTATCACCTAAAAAAATATCTTTAAAAGGCATTTCAAATATATTACTCGAATCCCGACTTTCCTTTAACAGGTAATCATATGTAGTTGGACTCTGAACACCCCTCCGGGCAGTTGTTTTCGCTGATGCCTTAAGAAGCATTTGTTATATTAGATTGTCGCATGTGGTTTCAGAATGGCTCTTAACAACTCACTTTTTTTTTATTAAAAAAAGAATAAAACTGCTTTAAACCTTTTGGCTCGAGTCATTAACAAATACTGCTTACCAAATTAAAGCTTTTTTGCATTTAGTGTTTAATTTTTCTTAGAGAAACAGTTTTATGATGATTTAAAGTATATAGCTAATTAAAAGTGACGTAGTTGCTGTTCTGCAAGCCCAAAAAATCTCTATGATGAGACTTTTTTAAATTTCTATTCCTTGCTTTACATAATATCTTTTATATCTGTCATTACTCTGTGCATAACTTGAAGTGTCTCACAGTCAGTGTCCTAAATGCACATATTGATCAGACATATTGTAGTAAAAACCTTTTACAATCCTAAGCCCAAATTCTGTTCAATACATTTACAATTATATCTTCCAATACAAGTCACGAAAAGCAAACCAAACATTAAAATAAATCTTTTTTTTTTTTTTGATCTATTATATTAAACTGATAGGACCACAAGTTTGATTTAATATAGCATTTGAAATCAGAGAAAATTCCCTTGTTTTTGTTGCATAATGCTCACACTTAAGCTGCATGGTCACAAGTGTATGCCTCATCCTGTGATGTTACTACCCCTGTATGGAATTAAAGGGTTGTTTTAGTATTTTCCTTTTTTGTTAAAGAAACCCAGAACCTTTTTGTACTTACTCTTGTTTAGTAGCCAAAAAATTCTATTTATTTTGTATGTTACTTAACATTTATTTTTGCTCACAAGACATCAGGAATATATATATGTATAATACTTAACAAAAGCTTTCTTTTTAATCCAGACAGTGCAGGCATCTAAAAAAATATATAGATTTTAATTCCCAGTCTCAAGTTACTTATTTTTCTTCCTACTTCTGACTTCTACTCATTACATTTTCACAGAATTATCTGTACTTTCTATTCCTTACATTTTTAAAACAAACATTACTCGTTACTCTTGGCTTCGGTTTAATGTTTATAAATATTTATTTCAC